CAAGAACATTAAAGCCATTTTCATTGATAAGCTATTGCAGAGCAGCACACTCCTGGTGTAAATAAGTTGTGCTTTGTTTGACTTGTACTGTGTATCAACTAATAAGTACTAATGAAAAAAATGAACAATAAGTATGATAAGATATTATGTAGGTTTATTTATAAACCTACATAATAACTCCACTTAGAGTTTTAGAACAACTCCACTTAGGTATTCAAAAAATAAATTCAGAAATAGCATAGCAGATAATAACAACCTAAAGAGAGGACAAGGAGGAGAAGGCAGAAGGAAAGAAACAAAGAAGATGAGAGAGGGAGAATGAAAAAAGGAAAGCTGTTAGCTTCTTCTATTCTTCATTATGTCATTTCAATATTAAACAGTGTGTCATATACTTTGTACTGTTTAAAATAATTATTTGACGATAAAGCCTCATGAAAATTACTGGTATGTTACTGATAGTATATTACAGTAACTTCCATACACTATGTAACATTATTGGCTGCTAAATTTTTACTAGTAGATCTAATATCCTTTGTAATGAATAAAACTACTTCAAAACAAGCAATATTCTAAAAGTGCAGTGCATGTAATGTAGTCAATGTAAAATAAAACAGGATGTCCTGCAATAAGGACTCGTCCAAACATTTTTATTGTCCCAAATTTATAGGTTGATATTGGGACTCCCAATTGGCATCAACAAAGTACATGTACTGATGAAATAAGAATGTAAACTTCTGCACTAAGAAATAATAGTGTGTTGGAGTTCTGAATAATCAATGTAAATTTCTCTTTTAAAAGTTAACCCTAAACACAGCAGTGCAATTACACTATAATTATGATTAAATTTAGTCTACGCTGAGAAAGAGTGAATTGATAGTTCAAAATGATAATTATGTGTTTTTTCCTTTGTTGTGCATGATATTGTAGATGGTATGTAGCTACAGTAAGATTGTGGGTGTGGCTAGAGTGGTAACATGGATCAGAGTTGTTTGCTGTTGCTGTATTTGTTACTCTCACTACAGAACTGTCAGTATTCTTATTTTACTACTGTATATAGAGTTAATTTATTATTGTTTGTAGGTCTTTCAGTTCCCATATCACGTTTCTATTCATTTGCAGGATCTTCAGGAGATCAAACTTTTACTAATGTTGATGATCAAGCTACATTTATAAATCTATCACATGACTTTATTTTTTATGGATACAATTTTAGCACAGTGTTTGTGAGTAGAATAAATATAGAATCCAATAATAATATGGAATAATATATCGAAAATTATAATCAGATTTGTTTCATTGAATCTGGCTTGCGAGACTACAGCTAATCCAGGGTTTCCCGCAGATTTTTAAAAGTATAGTGCTCATGCAGCTTCTTGTCAGTGGATTTTAAAGTTGCTCAAAAATTTAATTTTGACAAAATACCATAATAGATCTACTCTATTTAAAATGCTAGAGCAAATTTTTCATTTAAAAATTTTTTTCTAATAGATTACGTAATACATGTTCTTGTGTTACATGAAAATTGAGCAGACTCTGATGAAAATTAAATTTTTATAAATTTTTAAGTTACTAAAAATTAGGCCAAAGTTCCTGTACTACAGAACAAAGTCTTTGGCCAAATTTTTCGAAAATAGGAGAAAATTCTCTCTCATGTGCATTTTAAGTTGATTCCAATCAAAAATGAATTTTTTACAAATTAAAAAAGTTACTTAATGCTTAATTGTCAGCTCATGAGGCATGCTTTTTAGCTCACTTAGTATGCTTTGTGGGAAAGCCTGAGCTGACCACCTTATAGTTGTCATTATAAAAAAAATAGAGAAACAAATCAAGGTATAAAAAACAATAAAGAGTGAAGCAGAAAGATTTTATTACATTACGGTAATTGATATGATAGAATCTCTCTGCTTATGACACAAAAATCAATTGCACACCACACACTCTAAAGTTATGCACTGAACACTTGCAACAACACATTCTTTTAAACCAAAGTTAGTAATACAAATTACCATAGTAGTTTGAAATAGCTCCCCCTACATTATGAATACATACCATTAATATTTATTCTTATTACATTATAGATAAACAACAACGGTCTCCTTTCATTTCATCAGGCAGTTAATGGATACACTTCTGATTCATTTCCTTTACCTCAAACACTCATTGCTCCTTTCTGGGCTGATGTAGACACACGCAATGGAGCTGGAACAGTGTATTACAGAGAAACTACTGCTAGTGCCATTGTCAGCAAAGTGGCACAAGATGTGCAACTTGCTTTTCCAGGGCAGCCTTCATTTACAGCTAAATCCATTGTAATAGTGACATGGTACCAAGTTGGATACTATGAAGAGAATAACGACAAAGTACAAATAATATTTAGTCTTTAATCTTTTTCAATTAACATGTAGCTTAATACATTTCAGTGTGTCCT